AAAAAAAAAATCTCCAGTCACTTACTGAAAAAAAAATTGACTAACAAGAATTGAATTCAAAAATATTTTCCGATGCTACAAGCAGAACTTACTTCAACTCTGTCACCTGCTTGGGTATATTTTTTAGCTGCAGAATAGTAATTTTGTTGCATTACGCAACATTCAGCTATATTTCGTAGCATTTCACACCATTCTCCTGTACTCTTCATCGATTCTGTAGAATTAACTAATTTAATAGACTACACAAAATATTATTTCCATCTTTGTCAGTTATTCCTTATTCAATTTCGGAAAGTAATACAAAACAATCAGGCAGAAACTCTTGTCTCGCTACATTTTTTACCGCCAGTTCACATAAAACTTGACACCTTTTGGTGGAGTCAACAGTTCTGCCATTTCCTCGGTTATCGGTACATTATATTGTTTACAGAATTCAATCGCTCCGACGTACTAAATGACTATATTTAAAAAAATAATATTAAGTCAAAAAAAGCAAAGAACAAAAAGGTTACTCATAAGCAGAAAATAAATTCTATGGCAAAAAATTACGTTTTTTGCATATGCTAACAATTTCAACGCCTGATTATATTGTTGGGTATTCGCGTAAAATACTGCAGCTTTTTCAAGTACTCTGGGTTCAGAAGATTCGTTTAAATCTTTAGCAATCAAATCTAACGCTGTAAACTGTTCAGTTGCGAAAGCCAGTTCCATCGCTTTTCCGATCATTCCGACCTGAATATTTTACCATATTATCTTGAATACTAGATTCTTCTTTAATGTAGCTTTTGATGAGTACGAATAAAATGTTATTGGTATCATTATATTATTAACGGCCTGTCAAGTTGGAGTCTTTTTTTATAGTATGCCAGGCAAATGATTAGGCAAGAAGTAAAAAATTTACTTTATGATACAGCATAACTGCCTTATCTGTTTGGCCAGGTATCTGCTCATAAAATCTTGCAGCCTCCAGCATGTCGCTCTCTCCAGCCACTAAAGCTAAATTCGCAAGTTGATCAACCATTTTGTTTTCCTAAAGCAATACGCAAGAGAAAGAATCCATTCTTCAATCAGTCAGTCAAATTAATTTTGTAGAGAGCGGTAAAATACCTTTGCAATCCTAATAGCACTGTTATAAGCATGAGCCTTAGCAAAAAAGGAAACAGCACTTTTGGCGTCAGAATTATTCTCAAAATATCGAGCTAAATGATAGCACGCTGCTCTATCACCACTGCTTTCTGCCATCTCTTTAGCCTAAACAAGTAACCTGTGAATTATGCTGAGTTATTAATTAAAAAACTAGTTATTTTTAGTTGCTTTATGAAAAAAGAATTTTAAACAGATTGACTCAAACGAACGATACTGCAAACAAAATTTAACATCCATTTACTTCTTCAATTTTATTGTCATAGCATAACAGTCGCACTATGGATAAATGGTCTGATGCTTGACGGTAAAAGCGGAGTGCTGCATCAGTATCGCCATGGCTTTCCAAATATTGTGCCCACCATTTCTTTAACTTACTAAATTACTGTTGTTCAAAAAAGCTCTTTCCGGCAGTTTCTACAAGGTGTGTCAATTTCATAAAAAAAGTTATACTCAAGTCAGGCAAGCACAAGACTAAAACCACTGCCTTACGAGCAACGCAGAAGAACTTACGGGTCTTTGTTTTTTTGCACATAAGATTCTAGTCTTTTGGGATTGTCGATCAGTACTCGCGGCACCTCTTCAGAATGTGTGTGAGAAATTTCGTAGCTAAATCAAGACTTCTTTAAGTTAAAAAGTCAGATTTGATAAATTTTCTTTCGATGCAGATGCCGAATTGTATTAGTTTCAATGATTACCGTTACAGTTTTTCAAGAAGTTTTTTCGGAAAGTGGAATTTATTAGTGAATGGAAGACGACTAATTCTAGTATAGATACTTGATCGAAACCCAATCAGTCGTACTATTTTAATGAAGTTCATTATCAAACAGACAAATAAATGGGTTTTAGTTTCACGTTTAACCTGATCTTAGGTAAAATTGATTTACTAGCAGAATTAAAAGTGATATTTATTCCTTAACTGTTTAATAGCCTCTTCAATGTTTTCATTTAACTCTAAATCAGCTGCATATAGGTAATGGGTATTCCGTAAATGTATTCGATCGTACTGATTCGCTGTATCCATTGCCTGAAAATCATTTACTTATCTGCAAGCAGAAACCTCCTGAAAACCGTATGATAAATCGCAGTTTTTTTTTTTTAAATAGATTATATATTCTTTTTGTATAAGATTCTAACAAAATAAAATCCTATCTAAAATAAAATGCTATTTGTGCTTAATTTCTTTAAAAATTTTTGTGATATCATAGTTAATTAAGTTTTCATTAGTATTCTGTAGCTAACTAACCATTTTCCAATTGTTGGATGATTGAAAAAACTTGTTTATAAGATCATATCGACCACATTTTTTAAAAAGCATCTGCGCTTCATCCTAAACAATAGTTATTGACTTTATAGATAGTATCTGTAAAAGCTGAAAAGACATTTTGAATTCTTTTCCTTTCCTGTCACAAAACTTAATTAGCCTTTAAATTTTCTCTGCCAGGACTAATTAAAAGTGCCGATTCCAATCGGCTAAATTAGATTTCAGTAACTGCTATTTCAACATGATAAAAGCTTGCTTTTCTTAGGTTTTATGAGTTAGAATTGTACAGAATCTTCTCATTTTAAAAACGCACATAAAGCCCAAGTTGAATTGCGAGATACGCGATTTGTATCTCATTAGGTTCTCCAGAATCCATTACATCTCGTACTGCACGCGCTGCTCGAGCATTTCCCATGTTCCCCAAGCAAATCAGTGCAACATCCAGTCGCCTAGTTTTGACGCACATTAACGCCATATGTTCCCAAACCTTATCGCTAAAAAAACACTATATTTACCAGAACCATTCACTTATACAGAAGCTTCTGGTAGTATATTGATGAACGATGAGCTATGAACAATAATTCTAAATTAAAATTTTTGAAGAGAGCTTTGAATTAAAATTTGCTTAAAACTTTTTGCTACAAAAATTTGCTATAGTCATACCTTTTGATAAACTTTATTTCTTTAAATGCTTCATCCATTCTTCCAATTGTCAGATAAAATGAGAAGTTCAAAACTGCCTGAATGAGCAAAACAATTACACGCTAGTAGTATACAAGTGAAGTTCAATCTGTGGACGCATTTCATTCAGCAAAAACGCACTTGCTTAGTCGCCTTATCACTTGTTTCCAAACCAGAAAATTCTTTTAAACATCCTTCCAGCAAGAAACGACCATAGCACTTTTCACTTGCATCGTCTACTTCATCTGTATCGCTCTGTAATTAGAATTCCAAGCAGCTTAGATTGAATTAAATACACTGCTTTCATTTCTTACCTTTCTGACTGAATAGATCAATGGCACGTTAACACCAATCAAACTTTCGGCGCGCGGTGACCGCTCTTGAATGCCATGCATTTGAATCCCATGTTCGGAGGTTACAAACATCGTTAAAAGGTATCCTGTAGCCTTCAAAGAACAGCTAAAATCACGAAAGAAGCTGTTATTATAGTTTTGAGAAACTACAAAGTAGTATTTAGATACAGCAGTTTCAATCACGAAATCTAAATTTTTGTCTAAGAATCAAAAATCAATTGGTCAAAATAATGATAAGAATTCTTTTGAATAAATTACTGCAGTTGCGTCTTTTGTATTCGCCTCACAAGCAAGAAATCGTGGGTCTTCAGAATCCCAGTGAAAAATATCGGGAAGGTGGTCAGGTAAACGAAACCTCGCCTTTTCTCTATCAATTCTCCTAAGAATCACTTAAAGTTTATTGAAAAGTTCACCAGCTGTTCGAGTTATCCAAAAAATTAGGAAGCTGCTATAAGAGAGGAAAACTGTTGCAATAGCATTGTTCACATAAACTAGAATCTCTTAGAGAAATATATTTATCTCACCTAAATGCTGCTGTCAACGGGCGTTTTTCTGCCGGAAATGTTTCCAACTCCATAATTTGTTGATCAGTCATTCCGGTAGAGAGGTCAAAATTAGAGACAGTGTCGGTTTCAGCGTCCCATACGACTAACAAAGAACTAGCCTAAATTTGATAAAAACAACAGCCAAAACGTTTTAAAATGTCGGACTCTTTGCAGATAATGCTATTTGAATCACTCACAATTTCATTCCTGCTACTTGTGTAGGTAAAAGCAATTCTAGTGCCTTCACAATTCATTCTCATGATGATAAACGCTTTGAAGTCCTCCAAAGATTCCAGTACATATTTTGGGTTATATCGCTGTACGGCTTTTCTGTAATAAAAATATACCAAAATTCTTACAAGCTTAGCTTTTAGCCGAGGCCCAGAATGATAAAGAGACATTAGCTGTTAATCATATTCTATAAACTTTGACAGATTATTTATCACCAGTGAATTATAGAAACTAGTTGTTAAATAAATTTTAAAGACTTCGGCGATTATTTATCACACGTTCAAAAGAAGCATAAGCTAAACTTACTTGTCGTTTACTTCGTAGACGCGCATAAAACCACCAGATGTTCCTAAACACATCCACGGTGTACTGACATCTGAGACTATTATTGTACCCTCCATTTCTGGTAAAGCAATAACTTGTTTTGAGGTCCCCTAAAAGCTTGATTAGAAAACACGCAAGTCTGGCTTCTGTTTTTCGTTTTTGATATCGAAAGGAAACTTGAAATGTTCGAAGAGAAAGTTGATCCTTCTCCATACAAACAATAGACTGCCCAACAACCGCAGCTGCAACTACAACACATGGAAAATTAGCAATAATCTTAGTTGAAGTATACTTCCCGTTGTTTACTATTTCATAGAAAACCACCTAAAAACTACATTATTGACTGGTTGTAACATTTTAAAAGTAAAAATGATTTGAAAAAGTAGAAGATAAAAGTGTTGTGATAATACAGCAATGTAGTTTGAGCCTTCCTTCAGACTCTTTTGTTTTACATCGACTAAACTCCAAAACTGTTTATAGATTATTTCATTCTGACTATCTAAACGATCTTTGCTGTTGAACTTTAGTAAAAAAATTAAACAATTGTGGTACATTAAAATAGCTACTTTTGTGTTTCTTTTGACAACAAGTTCCACCAAACCAAAGTTAAAATGTGTTTTGAGAAACATAGATTCTAAAAGCTACAAAAATAAATTTTTCTTGCCTGTTCATCATCCCATACTACAATATTCTGCTTACTGACAGATATGCCTCGAACCTGAATCTGTAAAGATAACTGTGAAAGCATATGATTTTCCAGCTGGACTAGCAAAAAATTCTTGTAATCAAGTTGCACCACTGCTGTCTGAAAAAAAAAGCTATCTTTAAAGAGCAATGTAAAAAATAAACATACCAGAAAGCTTTTATTTACTATTACCAGGTTTGTTAAACTGTAAAAAAGTCTAGCTGCTTTTTGAACTTA